GGGGGGGGGGGGGGGGGAGTTGGGAGTTTCGTCGATAAAATTTTAATTTGTCGCGGGGCCGCGTAATTTCCATGAAAAGGAAAAAAAAACGAAAAGAAAAAACAAAACGGCAAAGAGAGGAAAAGAAGAAACTACCGAGGAGCGCGAGATCGATCGCTAAGCTGACGCGGCATTGTGTGAAATTTAATTAACGACGCGTAAATCAATTAGGCGGGCTTATGCAACACGTTTCAAAGTTGAAATTAATGCATGATGTAATTTGCATTTGCACACGGCAAAATTGGAACCCGTCGAATCCGGATTATTTCAATATGGATAAACACGTCCTATTCCTACATCGTGACGGCCGATGTACTCCAAACGCGGAGATCCCGTAGCGCGCGAGTATTTAGCGAATTTTAACACGGCGGTACACACTCCCACGCACCGCATATACACGTCATATACACAGTATATTTTATTAATCCGTATATTTTCAATCATTGCGAGAGAGAGAGAGAGAGAGAGAGAGAGAGAGAGACCGCGCGGCACTTGACTTTGTTCCTCCGCTAAGAGCAAGCAGTGAGAAGCCGAGATGAATATATGTTTAGTTATAGGCTACGGCAAAATGGTATACATACACACACACACATATACACGATCTATCGTTAAAAATCGTCTGTAGATCTTAGTAAATATTGTATGTGTCAAGATGATAGATTTATAACAATATGTAATGATAAAAACAATAAAGTATCGTTAAGTACACGAGTGCCTGTTCTTCTCGACATCTTTCCCGTCGTTTTTCCCCTCAACACACCGACAAAGGACAATCTGTGTCCGAGGCAGAGGCGATCAATCGCGATGATAATTCGCGGTAATAATTAACGCGAGAAGGGATAATTCAGGTCGAACATATACGCCTTGATCGTCTGAGAAACAATTCGCCCGCCCGAGCAAGGACGCGATTTGCGAAAATAAGACGGTAACGGAAAGCCGACGAGGGAGAGGCCAACACGGTGAAAACCAGAACGGAAACGAGTGACGAAGAGCGCAGTACAAAGCAATATCTTGTTTACCCGCTTCTCGGCGATGGCAATGTGAAGTGGAGAAGAAAAGAGAGAAGAAGAGAGGAGAAAAGAGTAGAAAAGAGTAGAAGAGAGAGTAGCGGTGACGACGGCGGCGACACAGCGGTGGCGGGCCCGAGGAGAATGAGTGGATTTTCATTGCAGTTTAATCCCCGTCCCGTATTCCCCTCGACGGTATTCTAAACGGCGATACGAAGGCAACTCTTGTCGCTTGGGGTGACGATATTACATTCCTCGATCGTGACGAAGATAACGGCCGCCGCATCTCGCGTGGCAATTCGAGCATCGCGTTAAAGCGCGCTTCTTCTAATCTCTCTGTTTCTCCCCATCGCCCTTTGTAGTTACCTGGTTCTCTGTTTTCCGCTTTGTGCAAGAGAGGCGCGAAGGAAGCAAATTTATGGCGACGTACGAGAGCGCGATGATGACACGCGGTTTGCAAAAGCAACTATTATTGCATCGTCTCACGCACGGTGCACGCTGAATTTCAGGTTCTGACGGAGTAATTCCACGTGTCGCAACGAGCGAATACGCATCGCGCATGCAAATGCAGCTCAGTCAAGGCTCACGAATCTCCGCGCGCGTTATCTTCTTTTCTACTGTTAACACAATCAACTTCGCATAGTTATCGCACGAATCGCGTCGAAACGGGAATTGTAACGGAGAGCATTGCGCAATCGATCAGCTCCTCCTTCGTGCGAGAGAGTCCTACATCAACATTAAATCTGTCACATGAGAAGGTCGACAAACACGCTAATTCGCTGCTAAATAAAGAATTTCTGTGGAGCCGCTGTCATTTTCTTTCTCCCGTATTTTCTCAAGTATTATCAGCGTATTCTTCGTTGAAATATACTGCACTTGTAACTGATGATTCAGTTATTCAATTGCAAAGAGAATATCATAGTTTTCATATAAATTCTTTCCAATTTTATACTATGTTTTTAATAGTCCAGAAATAGACTGTTTAGTAAAGTCTATCTTGCTAAGAAACATAACTTTCGATAGAAATAGTAGTGTAAATTTCGCTAAAAACATGGCGAGTATTTTAATAGTATATTTCATAATTATTAAAATATATGTAGCACATATGAAACGAAAGAATAAATTACTGTAGAATGTCGATCTATTTTCTGGTTCCAAGGTCCTATATTAGATTTTACCATAAAATTTTCTCCATGTAGATATAGCACTGCAATCAGTAAAATCTCGCTGAAAGGATTAGTTAACAGTAACGACTGTTACCGTTATCGAGGCAGTTTGCAAACGCAGACAGTGCCATTGTACGCAAATTGCACGGAGGCCGTTAATTCCATCAGCACGAACGCGGAAAGTTGGACTTCGCGGTGGAATTTTACTTCCATCAAATCATACGTGGAACAGTAAGGTGCAAATGTGCTGAAGATCAGTGAATACTCACTGACTATTGGCGAAATACTCCTTTTCCCGATTCAGTCAGAGATATTTCTATCGATATTTCTATCGATTCACTTTAAGAGAGTAATGTCCTCGTCCGCGACAGTCGAGTAAATTCCTCGCGAATCTATCGTACACGCGCGATATTGGCCTTACACTTTCAATAAAGGAGAAAGGAGGTCTCGGTACGCACAACGTAAGAATTTTGCGACGCGAACTCCACTCAATTTCGCGCTGCGGAATTTACTACGATATCGTTGGCGTCACCAAGATTTATGACGGCGCGCACGCGTGCTCCGAATAACGGCGATACTGCAGTTTGCAAAAGCAACTATTATTGCACTATCTCAAACCCACGTTGCACGCGGCTCAACGCTATGTGCCGCGGCCGATAAATTAATCGTGCGCGCGATAAGGCGTCCAGGGTCGAGGAGAGAACAAATTCGAAGATAGGTCAACACCAAATCGCAGATAAACGCTTGCCAATTATTTGACTTTGCGCTCCTGCCCGTCAAATAGCGATTCGTGTCGAGCGCCGACGATCATTTACAATGACAACCGCCTCGACGTTATCGCGGATTCGTTGTAGTCGTATAATCCAGACGATCGTAAGATAATGAAGCGAGGTATTCAGTCGTGAATTCTGCAGCCGCGAATTCTACGGCCGCGCCTCACCGTCCTCGGGGATGGCGTAGTTGTAATGGCACCACGTCGGCGGACGTCTACCGACCATCCGTGCCTATAATGCCTACGAGCGTGTAACGAGCACGGCTAAGTAAGTAGTCGGCCGGGGGTGGAGGCCGTTATATCTCGTCGTCACGATCGTGGTTCTTCGCGCGTGCAACACCCCTTTAATCGTCCGTCAAGTGTGTGTGCATTCGGAATGTAATATATCCTGGTGGCCACGTGCCGCTCACGTGCCGCTAAGTGTTTGTTTCGGTTTGCATTGTCACCGCGGATACAAGCGCGCCCGTGCCAAAGGCCGAGTCTCTCGCCCCTTGCCTCCTCTCTCCCTCTCCCCCGGCTTCTCTTTTCATAACTCCTCGTTCAGGGGGTAAATATCGTGCCGGTGTAGTGGTTGACAATTAGAAGCGATGGGAACGAGCTTCATTATGCGAAAGGGGAGCTCTCTGATTCGCCGGGCGTGTATTCGTGAAACGCGGAAATATTTTCGATCGCGCGTCGCGCGCGCGAAATCAATTGTCGCGAGGGGAGGACAGGGAGCGGGGTAGAGGCTCTCGTGCTTTCGTTCGCGCCCTGTCGCGGATGATTTCGCAGAGCTTAAACTGTGTTCTCATTAAACACGCGAATCTGCCCAACTCCCCGCGAGAACTGTGCGATCTCCAATCGAGAAAACGTGTAAATTAAATAGAAGTATCTTCGCGTGTAAAATAGCGCATCGCGTCGAGAGACGAAGTCGGTGTTTTACAGCCTTGTCCCAATTAATTGCGGAGGAGCTAACTCCGACTGAAGTTGAGAAGAGCTAAGTGCAAACAGACGTAATAGCAACACTAAGTTATTCTCAGTCGTTGTTTTCAGTCCAGAGATATGACGTTATCGGCTGTACAGAGGACGTGCAATGAGGACGAAATAAGTGCGACTATTAGTAAGCCGCGCAAAGGCGCTTGACTACCCCAACCATGTCGTTGAGCCGCCCTCATCGTAGAGTTAGTGACGACAAAGTACCAAAGAAACGCACTGGAGGATCACCCATGCCGTATCATGCCGCGGAAACTTGGCAATTACGTGCGCCGGGGAGTCACGATGGCAGATCTTCTTCGTTGTCGGGGGTGGCTGTGGAGCGACAGAGAGAGAAAGAAAAAAAAGAAAGAGAGAGGGAGATAGAAGCGCAATGGACACGCGACGCTCATACGTACGCTACGCAGGTGGTGGTGAGGTGTGGTGTGGAGTGGTAATAAGTCGCCGGGACGGTGTACACACAAGGGAGAGGTCTGGTAGTCAGCTACTTCGCTTTCCGGCCGGAGAAGAGAGAGGCAGCAAGCAATGACCAATATTATGATAATTCGAGCCTCTCGCGTTTTATCCTTCCGCATCCCCTTCCTTCTCCTCCTCCTGCTCCTCCTCTTGCCCTTTTCCTTCACCCCTTCCTTCACCTTCTCTCTTCCTACTCCCGCCCTATGTTACTCCTTCTCGTCTCTGCACGGAGAACGAGAAGAGCCGGGTGAGCACTCCGCTCTCACCCTGTCGCGCTCTCACCGGAAGCGCCACGGCGGCGGCCATGTTTCAGAGGCGCGGGCGTGGCC